GCGAAAATAAGGTGTCGCGAAAATGTAGTGATCTACAGTATATGACTCAGAGCATGATGTACTTTTAGAGAGGTCTCGTATTTCACTTGCAAGTGAAACCAAGCTTTCTGTGGAGGCAGTTCTAATATAGTTAGTTGTCATTTACAGATATTTGTGTTCAGGTCTAACAGATGAAATGCTCCAATACAAAGCAGGAAAGTCAAGGACGAAAGATCTGTTTATGATCTATTTAGTTGTTATAAATTTACTCATCTATATTCATTCAACACTTACCCTAAATATGACACTTGCAAATGTGGCAGACTATGTCATTTCAAGTTAATTTGGGATATATCGAACCGAGATAACATTTGTTCAGCAGGATATTTGATTTATAATTTTTAATCTTTTTAGCTCAAAAAAGAAAAGATTGTACATTCGTACATGGCGAAAAAATTTGAAGAAAAATAACCTTACCAGAAATATTCCTCCTGTACAATTACTAGTAGTTTATTTACGTTTTTACCCTAACTGCTTGTCTTTTGTAAAATAGATAAAATAGATAATAGATTAATTTTGATTCATTTTATGGTGAAGATAAAGTTTGTGGGTGGCTGTTTTGCGTTAAAGTTCGACTTTGTTGCCATAATTACAATGCCCTAGTTTAAAAGTATAATTGCACATATAGTTCTGTCCATTCCCTACACGTGAAATGTCAATCATTGTTATAAAATCAATTTGAAACAGTAGCTAAATGGCTGAATAGTTGGATGAATGTGTTCGAGTGATAAAGCCAACAATGTACCAAGGTGTCACTAATTTCTGGAATATTGAATATTCTAAAATTCGTGTCCTTATAATTCCCCTTCGAGAATCTAGCTGACTGACTTTATATTTCGACATTTAATAGTTTTATAATTATATCTTCTTGCTGATGCTGAAGAAGTAAGAATTAAATTTAATATCAGAAAGAATTACCGGTATTATTTATTAAAATTCAAATGAAAGTATGAATCCAGAATTATAGTTACTCGTCTTCAAAGAACAATTACTGAACAATTTTGAATGTCTGTGTATGCTAAAGGGCAGCAAATGAATTAAAAGTGAGAATAAAGAAAAATAAGATTTGTCATGAATTTTCAGCATTCAGACTTAAATTCTCTCTCTCTCTCTCTCTCTCTCTCTCTCTCTCTTTCTGATGTAGTGCATTGGGGGAAAACCAATTAAAATATAGTAGTTGTTTTACATATTTTTTGTATTGGAGTCGAAACGCTTAAATCTGGAAGGCACCAAACAAGCAATAAATAGGGATTTTCAAAATAATTTTAAAAGCAGTCGCACTAGCTTTTCAAGAATTCTCTCTCTATGGAAAAAAACATAGAATCTCCCTATGACCTTTCAAACTTTAAGAATCACTATAGTAAAAATTTTGTCTTTTGACTTGAAAATGTTAGAGAGTTCATTTTGATTTTTTCTAAGGATGCGTCGGACTTCTCATACAATGACAAAAATTCAATTTTATTGCAGCATACCAAATTGTTCGCAATTGTCAAAAAGTGAAACATTGTTTTTTCCCTATTGTCATTTGGGTCGACCATGCAAATGGAAACAACATTTGCAAAATGTGATTGGGCTATTGTAAGTGCACTCTTTCTCCTGGCATCAGAAGCCTTTATATGGATATGCTTAGAATTTAATAATTATCAACGTGCAAAGACGCCATACATCTTTCAAGTAATATTATTATAGTCAATAAAATATAGAGATGGGAATGCAAATGTCCATCGCTAGAACTAATTGGACATTATTTACACGTTAATTCATTGACGGTCTTGTTTTGGCTCGTATATGTAATTACTTTATGGATATTGGAGGTATTGACAAATTTATACAGAAAAGAAAAATTCTCAGATTATCATGGTTGTATAATAGGTATTTAAAGAAAATCATAAACTACTGAAGCTTTTTTTGTTACATATTTCACCGTTTTAATCTTTCTTATTTTTAATTTTTTTTTTCTTTCTGGGTCAAAAATGTTTTTTTTACTGAAATAATGTCCTTGGGTCCTTCTGTCCAATGTCAGAGAGTATATAAATCGTAAATTGACCCAAACGAATATCAATAAAGGACGTAGCAAAAATGAAATAAATATTAATGAAGAAGTACGTTTACTTAGACATTTGAAATTACAATTCCCACTGGACCTCTAAATATGTGAGACTGGGTCTTTCTTGTTTCTCATTTATTGTAACAAAATAACTCTTCAAAATCATAAGCATACAATATCTCCTTTTGTCCCTGCTACAACTCCCAAAGTGAGCACAATTTCAATTACATTAATATCGCTTTACAGCCCTCAGACCATTTCCTGAGATTAAAATGAAGCAGAATTAATGAGATATTTAAATCCGATCACGACTCTATATTTTGGTCACATACACAATGAATTAAACACTGTTTATTTTTAATATGAGAAATACCTGATTCCAATGGTTCGGTTTGCTTAATTTTTTACTTAAAAAATTTTCGTAACTTCTTAAACAAAAAATTGCTATATCAATATTTTAGCACAACCATAAAGTAAATAGTTATTTTCTGACAGAAAGTTGTTAAAGAATACTGTTATATCTTTAGAATAAAACGTTTTTCTAGGTTTTCTAAAATCTCACTTATGGCAATTTATTCTTTTTTAATTTGGGGAAAAAAGCTTGGACGAAAAATTTAATGAAGATTGTTTTAATTTCTTATGATTTTTGCTGTTTTTCATACACAATCTCTTTTAGTCATGTTCTCGTTATAAAATAAAAAGAAGTTGGATTGTACGGTTCTATTTTCTTCATCACAAAGAACATCAAAAGCGGGATCGGTGTTCTTTACAAAGTTTGAATACTGAATAACATTTAAAAGTTATAAAATTGATGGAATAATGATTAAAGTTATTAAATTGATGGAATAATGATATTTATGCTAAAATTGGTCAATACAATTATTGTTTTCCAGTCTTGAGACACGGCATTCGTTTAGAGACCGATTTAACATTGATGAATAGCTATCGATTTTTGTTCTTAAATAAGATAACTCAAGGAGCGCGTAAAGCCATACAGACATTTTAGATCCTGATGTTGACAGCATTACAAGGTAGGATTTTTCAAATTCTGGGATTCATCTATTTACTTTAAAAATTGTGAAAACAGATCTAGAGTTAAAACAATGTATTAGTGTAAGATACCTCTGTCCAAATAAATATTATTTGTATGGTAAATTTGAAATCTTTTAAAATATAATTCTTTTTATTTTTTACCAATCGGGGAGGTCGTTTGTACTGAACATGTTTGAAACTATTTCTTTCCTGAAAAAAGAACACACATCCATTGTAAATGAAAGGTTCCTCGTTTTCTTCAGCTTTTTCATTTAAGAGTTCAAACAATACATATATACATTTTGATTGGCTATGCATTTAATTGATATAATTATACATTTTTTTCGAAATGAAACAATCTTACTTTGTTATACATATACAGTGAAAACTGTCTAATCCGACACCTGAATAATCCGACACATTGAGAATTCCGACTTGAGATTTCTCTCCCATTTTAATATTTTCCATGTTTTTAACACTGTGCAATCCGACACCCTGTCTATTCCGACATAAAATTTATGTCCCAGTGCATGTCGGATTAGACAGGTTTCACAGTTTATTATTTTCAAATATCCCAAAATGTGTATTTTCTGCAAAGCATTTTCTAAGCTTTGCAAAAGAAGAAAAAGACAAAGTTTACGCATGTCAGTCTGATTAAAACCAGCTCCTTCTACTTTCACTTTCACTGAGTGAAAGGAGAAGGGGGCTAGTTTAAATCAGACTGTACGCATGTGCAATTTCCAAAACGAGGTAATGACGAGCATGTTTATATTTTTTTTAACTACATGTGCGTGAGTAGGATGATTGTTTTATCCAAATGATTAATTTTGAAGTAATTTTAATAAAAATGATTTTGTGTTCTTTCCTTTTAAAAAGAACATAACTTTTCAAGAAGAAATCCTAATTACTAGTAATAGGATGATTTCAGTCAAACCCGGGTTTGAACGCTCACTCAGGGAATATTGGCTCAGTTCCTTCCGTTCCTTCGTTCAAGAGTAAACATGCAGTAGTCAAACTCAATAGTCCCTTCAAACATTACAAATCAGGAGCAGAGCAGACACGGACTTCCCAAACATCAGAGGTGGGATCAGGTGCCGCGGAGGAGTGAGCATTCACTGCTGACCGTCACACCCGTGTGCTCCTTTTCATGATTAAGGGGCGATGGATAATTCTGTCTACAATTCATTGTGTATACAATAGCCTAACAATTAGCATCGAAAACATCAGTCAGCACTTGATTCAATGTTAGATTGTTTTTGCTGACAATGTCGACAAAGAATGGTAACGACAAAACTTGAGAAATTATGATTTGCAAACACGAGTGTTGATATATTTTTTAATAAGTTGTTTGTCATAATCTTGCCTCGTTGGAGAAAACGTTCATACATAGAGCACGCTCTTGCGTGTCGAAACAACTGATACCCTATATGCAGGTGATAAAGTTATATACATGTAGTTATACATGTATGTATACAAGTAAGTTGGCAATTTAAGAGTTGAAATCATCACGTTCAAAACAGCTTGTTTGCTACGTTACTATTAACATTTTCTTTAGTAAAATATCCAAATACATTTAAGTGTAGTGACTCTGTTGTATATTTAATTAAAGCTCACTGAGATATTTCAAGTCGGTATATGAATGGAAGCAAATGTATTAATTAATATTACTTAGTCGATATATCTAAAAACGACAGCATGTGTTTTCCTCTTCTCCTGTAGAATTTTTCTTAATAAACTGACAAAATGAAAGTGTTGCAATATTTTGAAAAAAAAAACCTGTGTCTATTGGGAGCTGTATAGCTTCTTTTACGTGCGCTTGCTTTATCATGTTCACGTTTTAGTACATATCTGTATATTGAAAATCGTGTATTTTTTCAGACCAATGAACACAACAAACTCATCAGATTTCCATCTAACAACAATTGAAAATAGTGGAGATCTTTCACCTTCGTTGCAATGTAGGTTCTCTGTATGTCGGAACAAACCATGGTACTTATGTGGAATCTTCGTTCTTACTATGGTCAACTTGACCCTTGGAACAGCGGCCAATTGCTTTCTTTGTTTTCAGATCATCTGGAAGAGATCCTACCATACTACCACTTTTGCTTGCATTTTTGTCTTGGCTCTTAGCGATATCAGTGCATCAATTTCTATGATGGCCGCTTCGGTGGATCTTAATACAAAAGCAATAGACAGTGCCAAGTTCTCAGAAATATTTGAAATAGTGGATCGAAATATCCTACTTGCCATGGCGACAACTGTAATATGGTCCAATGAGAATATGGTGCTGTTTGCTATGGAGAGATATTCTCTAATGAAGAATCCAGTTAAGTATGCTAGATTTCAAACACCAAAAAGAATATTTGTAAAATCGTTTCTTTGCTTATTCATAACCGGAGTATTTAATATTTGTGCTCTAATCATATTAATTCAACTAATATGTAAAGAGAGGAATGCAAATTGTATTCTGCCATTCTTTGGTGCTTTGGGTATTCCGTTCTGGGTGGTAACATTAATTTTGTTGGTCGTTATTCATCGCAGTAAAATAAAGCGATTGCGTGCTACAAGTCTCCGTGTCAATGTCAGAACCGATCGCGTGACGTCCAGAATGACGAAATCAATTTACGTCATTTTGATAAATTATTTTATTGCAAATGGACCATCTTTAGTGATCGATATTTTGAAGTTTCTGGAACTTTTCTGCACATTTTCGCTTAAGGTAGATGGGCCATTGCTTTTTAATGTGACATTTTTCTTCAGTTCCATCAAAGTTACCGCTAATCCATTTATTTATTTCTTTTGTTCCAAGGTCAAATGTCAAAGATGTTGTTTATTCAGGAAAGAACCCCTTGCTTTGTCAGTGTTTTCTTAATCTAAAAGATAGGAGCATGTTATGATTTGATTACACTTGTGTAACTTAGTGCATTATTGACAAACACATGAAAATCGAAATATCTTTTTTCGTGCCTATCCTGTTTTTTATATTACCGTACAAGTGAAAATTTTAGCGAGACGCAAATTAAGCGATTTATCCTTAAAAATATGTATATGTTTTTAGCGAGAAATAATTTTAGCGCTAATAAAATGCTCATTGTAAAAGGTATTACTAATAGTAGGCAATGAATTGTAAGCCAGATTCAAATTGAATCCTCGCTAAACATTCTGCTTATACGGTATCTTTATGCTTGATATGTTGTAAATGTTAGTTCTTTGAATGTTCTAAGAAGTACAAACTGCCAAAATATCCCTGTATATTACCCCGGTATATCCATTGTATCTTAAGATAGATATATACATTTGGGAACATATAAATTGTTACTCTGTTCAGTGGCGAATTAAATAATTATTTGTTATTATATCGTTTAATGTTTTCGTTTATATAATATAGATTAATGTTTTCGTTCATATAATCATTTTCGTGTAAGTGTTACGAGTATGTGCAACTTAAGATGAAAGCCCCACTTGTTACTCATTTATACATGGCAAAAATTATTTTATGGTCATATTGTTTTCCGGTTAAATCTGACAATCAGGGATTACTTAAATAATGAGATTAAATGTATTTGAAAGTACATCGTATTCGTTATATACAGTAAAACTCGTTTAGTACGTACATGGATATTGCGAATTTACGGATATAGCGAAGTCATCTTAGATCCCCGGCTATAGAAAATTAATGAATTTCATATATGGATATAACGAATTACGGATATAACGAAGTAATTTCATAGGTCCCAGCAACTTCGTTATAACCGAGTTTTGCTGTATAATCATTGCATTATCGTAGCATTTATGTCTACATTGTTATGATCGTATTTATATGAATAAAAAAAAATAAAATACACTAAAACATATTATCTTTGTGGTATGTCTTTATACTTCACGTAGTTTCTAAACAAGATCTGATTTTATTTTCGTCATGAGGAGTACAAAAGTTAAATCAATACTAGAGCCGAGCTCGTTGCAAAGTAACGAGTAGGTCTTCCGTTGGAGCTGTGGACAGGAAGTGCCGACCTTTGGTCAAGGTCACTTTACTTTTTTATAAGAACAACTTCTATTCTCGGGATTAGCCTCTTGAAAATCTTAATTTCAAAGTTATGCTTGAACAATTTTTCTCTCTGTCAGTGACCTTGATTTGCCTTCATCAATGTCATGACACAACTTCTATTTATAAATAATCTATGTTTCAAGTACGGCCTCCAATGATTTTTATTTATTGATTCGTAGCGTGGAAAAGAAAATATTTTTTCTGTCAGTGACCCTGATCTCTACGGAATAACCTTGGATCTGTGTCAAGACAAAACCTCAATCTCAAACAACTTTTAGTAATTAGAAATTCATAAGCCTGACAGGAATTTTACAACTTTTTCTGTCAGTGACCCTGAATTTGAAAAAATGGCATTATTTTTAGTTATCTGAAACCGGAGGACCATAAGCAATCTGTATGAAGTCTGAATTTAAAAAAGAAAAGGCTAGATTGAATTTATACTATTTTCTGAGTCAAATGATACAAAACCTTTTTGTCACAAAAAATCTCTGTATCAAGTATGAGCTTCCAGATATTCTCGATTACATATATAAATGGCTCGTACAAAACATTAACTCTTTCTATAGTGACCTTGAATTTGCCATAATATTCCCTTGAACCAATGCCATGACACACCTTAGAATCATTGGAAATCTTTGTATCGAGTAGTATGAGCTCCAAGATTATCCATAAATTTAAAGCCTGCCTTCTGGGAAAACCTTGAGAGGCAGAAGGTAGGACAGCTGGACAGTGAAACAGAAAATATTATTTCTAACCCATCCACCCCCACCCCACCTCCCCAAAATACACAATCACTTTGTTTGCGTGGGTACAACTTCCTATGTTTAATTTTGAATACCTATTCCAGTCATGATTTGAAAAACAGTAATCTTTATTACATGTATTTCAGGAAGCTTTCATAAGTATGGTTTCTCATTCTTGCCCAGAAGTTCGAGAAAAATAATTTTTTTTAAGACCCCCTCCTATTTTTGCTAATCGTTTTTCTACATTATCTTTATTTTATACCCCCCTCCCCCCCCCCCCCCCAAAGGTCGCTCATCATGTTCAATAACACGTTGCCTAACCGAAACCACGTCGGTTTATACACGCCGTTCAATTTCTTTACATTTTTTCCGTGAAGGAGGACGGGCAGGGATAAAAGATTAAAGAAAAATTCCGGATGTTCAACAGCACCATGCATGGACTTTATTTTAGTACTACATATTGTGCTTGAAGTTGAATAAAATCTATAAATAAATTTAATTAAAATAGGAAACGGAGATAACGTTTAATAGAATAATTTTGACAATATATTTGATACAAGAACCATCTGATAAATACGTGTATGTATATGAGCAAGGCGAGTCTTTCTCTCTCTCTTATTCACGTATTTTTTAACCAAGAAAAATTAATGTGCGTAAGATACAAGTTCATTATTTTAAAGAAAATACTCAATATTACATGTACATGGTGTATATACGGTAAACGATACAAATGGTTTGACTATGCTGCCGGTGTCGTATAGTGAGACTTCCCCCATAGTGAGGCTTCCCCCGGAAGGCTCACTATATATTTCCCCCGGAAGGCTGGCTATATAGTAAGAATGGCTATATAGTGAGACTTCCCCCACGGAAGTTTCACTATATAGCCGTTCTTAAGGCTCACTTTATAGCCAGCCTTCCCCCATTCATAGCGAGACTTCCCCTTCTTATTATAGTTTCCGGAACATTGTTTTATTATTTAAAAAAATTCGAACAGTGTTAATTTATGACGAAATTATCTTCCATATATATACATGTATTTATATATTTGTTTTATATGCATGAACAGTTTGAATATCGTTTTAACTATTTGATATCCATTATAACATATGCATGTACTTAGAGATGATATAATATATATAATATGTATACCCTTTCCTTTACATGTATTGATAACGAATAATTTTATTAGTTCACGAGTCACTTATATGAAATGTTCTGATTGTTTTCAGCATTGGAATAAAAAAAAAATTGATAGCAGTTTTGTTTGTTTGTTTTTCTGTTTGTGTACAAACATTAGCTATTTACACATTAGGTATGGTTACCCGATTTAATAAAAAATGTAGCGAAAAGAAGAAAAATTTATAGTACTTTAAGACTATGCGAGAAATAAAATAATTGTGCTCGAATGTGAAAAATAAAACATGCATTCCAAATCTCAATTATGATTTTCTTAGTTCCTAACTATATTTATCGAAAGTTTCATGTACATAAAGTTTAAATCTACTTTAAGGATAATTTTAAGCATCATTTAATAGATATGCTGAAATGTAAAATAAGTAACAATTGCAATGCAGTATATATATATATTTTTTAATTTTACGTATTTTTTATACGTGTATTCAAACATCCAATCGTCCAAACCCAGTTTAATAAAATATCTTTAAATAAATAATTTTTAAAACACGACCAAAATGAAAAAAATAATTGTATGAATTGATGTATTGGTGTGATGAGCAGGGGGTGCACACATTTTCATACAATTTTTCCGGTCATAAATTTAAAAAGCGGGGGGGGGGGGGGGGGGGGTTAAGCCCTATCCATGCATCCGGTGCCTTTGGTAAAATATGCATGACAGTCAGAATTTGATTTAAAGTGTATTAGAACTCAAATCCATCTTATTTGATTTTATAGTGATGTAATTTCATTAATATCACGCAAATTTAATTTCAAAATGAAATACAAATCCTAAAAATACTTCATAAAATTTATAAAAGTTAAAAGGTCCCTAAAGCATACAATAAATATTTAATTATGTCAATGTATATAAAATCCAAACCGAAAACCGAAGGGGGAAGACTCACTATAGTCATTATGGGGGGAAGTCTCACTATATAGCCATATTTCCCCCTAGGGGGAAGACTCACTATATAGCCAGACTTCCGGGGGGAAGTCTCACTATGGCGGAAGTCTCACTATATGACACCGGTTATGATTTTAACAATTAGAATAAGTCGTAAAAATGTAGTAATTACATGTAATAATGATTTTGTAATATTCAGTAGTTACAGATTGTTATAAAAGTTCTTAAATTTTCAGTTCTGAAAATACGATGCAGGTTTATTACTTCTTACATGTATAACCTGCTACCGATATTTAATCACGGAACAAATGAAAATTAAATGCTATATCTAAAAAAAATTACGGGTTTTGAATAATTGTAATTATAAAAAAAACAAATGATGTTGGCAGGTATGGTCCTAATACTCTTTTACCGGGGTACTGACTAGTGACTTCACATTAAAACCTGTTTTCAAGCTGTTCAGTTTGACCATATGAGTTGAATGCTTTTATTTCATAAATGCTGAAATCGGGGTATTTCATCCAAACCTGTAATATAAATAGGCATTGCAGAGCACAGAAGTCGCTTTTGAAGTTCAGACGTGCAAGAGTTACATGTACCTATCGATGTTTAATCCATTTCATTGACTATTATTCTATCCATATGATTCGGAAGTTTCTTATAAAAGTTTAAAGATGGTATAACTATGGAAATAATCTATGATGGGGAAAGAATGTGTATTAGAAAAATTGTGTTGAAAACGGATTTATTAAATCATGATTAAAGTATTTAGTAACTGCAGATCGGTAGTTCTTACGCAATGTATCATTAAAATGAAAGTAAAATTACATATGGAGCTAACGAACATGTAAAAAAAAAAAAATACAGCTCTGAGACTGATTAATATAAATTTCCCAGCGTTTTGTACAAAAAATAAATTCTAAGGCATTTTAAGATGGCGGTATTATATAGAACACTTAAGTCTTGTACTGTGAAATAAAATCGTTCGTTCATCGAAGTGA